CTCACCGAAAACAGCGGCCAAGGAACTGCAGCTGCCTGCAGATCTGGCAGCAGCCCCTGTAAATGAGATTAGGCAGCACTGGAGGACTGGGCAGGAAGAGAATGTGGGCTAATGGGATAGGGAAGGAGGCGGAGGGAGGGGGATAAAAGAGACGGGTGTGGAAAGTGTGTCTCCTCCTCGTTTTTACGCCTTTTACCAACACCAGCAGGGAATCTGCCTGCTCCTCTGCCCTACGCTGGACATTTCACGTTTTTCTTTTTTTTTTTTCCAGGGAGAACGAGAGAGCTTGAGTCGTGCTGGCACTGCGGACCACTTTGAGCAGTGGAAAAGAGAGACCAGAGAGCAAGTCTGTTCCAGGCTGATAGGAAGGAGCTCTCTAGATACCCTTGGGGCTGTTTTGCTACATCCCAAGTAACTGCTTAATTTGCCACGGCCTAGAGCTTACCATGATGAAATTAAAAATTAGGCATGTAAATCATACTTCCTCACCGTATAGGGACAAGAATGCTTTGATTTTCCAGAAGTGCTGAAATGTCTTGAACTCAACATCCACAAGAACAGGAGATACTTCAGTGGTAAGCCATCAGATATTCCCATTTGAAAGTGTCTTTTCTAGAAACAGTAACTCTTATTACAAGGATGATCTCGCAAAAGAAGTCATTTTGGGGGACAATACCTTCTACCATGCATTGCACCTCACGGAGCGTGCCCTGGCAGAATCACTGCAATTCAAGCTCAGAAGTCTCCATACGTACTGTCTCAGGCTCTTTCTGCCTTCCTCACATCCCAAAGAAACCTCAAATCAACTCTATCTTGCTAGAAGTTACCTATCAAAACTACCATTTTCCAAATTTTGCAGAGGCGTTCAGATCCTTTACCAGAGGAGATGATAAATTAGACAAGCTGATGACAGGGAACCCCAGAAGCCAATGTAAAATAAAGGGGAGAGAATGATTGGACTTCTTGGCAAGTGGAGAAAGACAGAGGTTTGATAAAGGTCCCAGAGTGAGCACTAGAGACAACAGATGATCTCAAACGTGGACAGGAACGTCCTTGAGGGAGGGCAGAAGTAAATGGTGAAATGATCCAACAGAGTAAGAACCAGCAATTGAATTGAGTGGGATATATTGACAGTAAAGGAAAGAAGCTCTGTAGCAGAAAGTGCATGTCTAGACCTTTTCAGTGGAGAATAATTTGGTATGTCACAAGGAAAAGGTAAGTGGAATCAAACAGTCTGGATATAAGAGAAATCTGGAGTTCTGAGAGGGAAGAGAGATCAACACAAATGAAAGAGTTTGACAGTGCAAGAGGAAAGTAAAGGAAAAGAAGTACTGAGGTTGAAAATAGCAGGCAGAAACAAATATGGAACTAAAAAATAAACAGAGAACTGAGAAAAGGCTTGCTTCCCATGAAAAATCCACTCAGTGTATGGTAGCATTTTGACAGACCTAAGCAATGAATCTGAATCCAAATGTTAACTTTCAAAAGGTTTTTGCGCAGACTCTGGTGATTCAGTCCAGTCCACCACTGAGAATGGGTACCAGCAATAAAAATGTGGATCTATATTTCCCTAACTTTTGCATACATTTCCTAAGGAAGCAGTACTGCAGTGCTCGTTTACTACAGACTATGTGAGACTGACAGACGTACTGGAAGTCAAGGGGAACATACCTCTCAAGATCTGTTAAGAACATAAGTCACAGCCTTATAGCTGTGTGACCCCAAAACAAACTCAAAGTCTTATTTATCAGACTGCGGTTTACATTTCTTTCCGAGAGCAGAAATGGTGATTGCTTGCACAAGATATGCTTTAAATGCAATTTTACCCTAAAAGTGGGGTAGGAGGAAAATCACTAAAAATAGTGATGATACATATACATTCCTTCCATTTACTCTGCCAGCCAAAAATGACTGTATCTTAAAATAGCATATGCATTAAAGGGCACAGAAATCAAATGTTAGCAAGTTTCCAGTATAGTTCTAAGTTTGTTTTCTTACTTTACATCATCTTATTACTAATTCAAGTCAGAAAACTAGAGAAAAGGAAAGTCTTTTGTACTGCAGTTCTTGGAGTATGTACAAGAAGTAGCTTATGTTTTACAAGATGTCTTCAATCTAGCTATTTACTATAAGCTACGCAGCAAGTGAATTTTGGCAGGGGTTATGTGTCTTTGAAGAACTCCCCAGCAAAGCTTATTAGTTTAAGCAGCAGCATTTTCAAGTTCTTTACTTTCTGAGAATCTGTTCAAAACTAAAGGCAGAGGTATCTGAGTAAAGATTTTAGCTATACAGCTTCTAAAATTATCTTACTTTTTTGCTTTAAATATTCTGATTAATTTCACAAATCAAGTAAAATACAAAATGTTACATTAGTTAGGCAAAGTTGATTTTTTTTTCGAAAATAAATATATTTCCGCTATTAACTGAATATTGATCATCATAAATTAAGGTACAAAGTAAATTCAGTCAAGTACGCAGATAAAGTAACAATCTGGACCTCCTGAAGTCAATAGGTGTTTCTTCCACTAACATAAAGGTAACTGATTTCACACACAGTCTTTAATCTTGTATTCAGAACCAGAGGCTCAAACATCCCAATGGCGTGTCTCATAACTACAGGCTTCCTATGCTGAAGCACACTAAGGAGTCTTCCATTTCACCAGTATGTCCAGTATTAGAATGAGACAGAAGCTCTAACCTCTGCAATAGCTAAACATGAAAAAAAAAAAAAAAACCACACCAGAAACAACCCAATAGAATTTCTTTCTGCTGGTGCTTTGTAATGAAACAGACCCTGGACTGGGCCGCTTCCACCTATATAAGAGAAAAGAAAGCTGTTTCATTATTTCTTTTAAAAAATATAATTGGATAACTTATTCTGATGCAGTTAGAAGAATCTACTCAATAGCCTATAAAAAGATAAAGATTCATAAATTAGTCACGTATCTTTCCCATGCTTGAGAGTCATCATCACTTATCTCATACATAGCCAGTATTAGCTTCCCCAGAAAGCAGGGCCTGCCAAAAGAGGAATGTCCTGTTTCAAAACGCAAAGCAAAACTACTCATTAATAAAACAAAGAAGATAGCAAAGGCTGCCAAGGGGCAGTTTTATCTAACAAGGCCATAAAACACATATGATTTAGCAAGCTGGTAACTACACTTTTTGCATTTAGTTTGCACAGTCAATACAACTAAAGTATTCCAAGAACATCATATGCGTGTGCCATACGTAACACATGGGCATGCAGTTTTAAATCAGAATATTATTTCTGGATATGTAGGACAACCTGTCTGGATGTGGAAGAGGGAATTTTTCAGTCTTGAAAAGTCCTACTAACCAGTGCTGTTATACTATGTTAATATGCTGCCTATATCCATCAAATTCCTCTTGTCTTATGCCTACACTGAGTGTTCCTTGGAGTAAAGACACATTATGAAAGCTCTTAGCACAGCATGGTCCTGGTCCATGACCAAGTCTTTAAAACATTATAGAATTATAAACAATCACATTCAAATTTATTGAAATAACACAGACATTCTAGTTAATTAGGCTCCAGACACTGACATGAGTTACTACTGTGCTGCCTTCAAGTATAAAACCCAGACTTTTTTCCTCCAGGCTAGTAAAGCACAGAATT